ACGGAGTTCCTGGAGGACATTCGGCACCGGCTCGAGCAGGCACAGGCCATACAGAAGCGCCACTACGACCATCTCCACCGCGAGGTCACCTACCAGGCAGGCGACTGGGTCCTGCTTCGACTTCGTCAGCGGCCTACTGCATCCATGCCCCAAGCATCGGCTGGAAAGCTCAAGCCTCGCTTCTACGGGCCATACCGCGTCGTCGAGCTCATCAACGACGTCGCAGTCCGCCTGGCCCTGCCTCCTCAAGCTCGCCTCCACGATGTCTTCCACGTTGGGCTGCTCAAGAAATTCCATGGCAACCCACCGCAGGAGCCACCAGCCCTCCCTCCTGTTCGCCATGGCACGATCGTTCCAGAGCCGGAGCGGGCTGTCAAGTCACGTTTGGCGCGTGGAGTGCGCCAGGTCCTCGTTCAGTGGAAGGGGGCGTCGCCAGCTTCAGCAACCTGGGAGGATGTCGACTCGCTCCGCACCCGATATCCCCAAATTCAGCTCGAGGACGAGCTGCCTCTCGAGGAGGGGAGAGATGTAATGTACGGGCACACGTACACGCGGCATCGCAGGGCACGCGATGTGCGCCGCGCTGCTGATCGAGCAGCACGCCTGAGTCAGCAGGTGATCACGTCAAGTGGCTAAGATTAGAAGGAAGAGAGTAATTGGTTGTTTCCTTGTTTTGTTATTTTCCTTTGGCAGTCCTTAAGTTTAGGAAGAGTGGTTGGGCCGGAGGCCATATATTCCTGTAACCGCACATGGAGAGATCAAGCAAGAATCATTCAATCTAATCTCCTGCCTCTTCTCTAAGCCACGAGCCTGGGGGCAAAACCCGGCGAGTGTTGAGCGACGTGGGGGCATAACCCCGTCGTGTTTACCACGGAGCGTGGGTATGAGCTCCGTAGTCGAGGCCCGGCGTCCCTGCCGCATACCGCCCTTGACACTTCCTCTGCCTCTCTTCACGTTACTATCCTGGCTTAGGATTCCACTACGCACCGGTGCCTCTGGAAGTCTCCGTTGCACATGTCCAAACCATCTCAACCGGTGTTGGACAAGCTTTTCTTCAATTGACGTTACCCCTAATCTATCACGTATATCATCGTTCCGAACTCGATCCCTTCTTGTATGACCGCAAATCCAACGCAACATACGCATTTCCGCGACACTTAGCTTCATTGAAACCATTATATACACTGTAATTATTAACTATTCAGGAAAAGAGAGTACGAAACGAACAAAAAAAAGACATAGGGCATACCATGGCAACATCTATACTGGTAACCCTAAGTAGTTCATCAGGACAAACAAGATATCCTAGAAGAACCCACTCACGGTATGATGTGACATTAGCCAAGTCTTGGGCCCTCTGGAAGGAAACAGAATCACGTTAAATCTCTAAATTATAATACACATTTATCATGGTATTGGCAGAATAATGAACAGACATTTATGCTCTCATGATTTATCATCTCTAACAGTTGAAGTACTAACCATTGGGTGGGCGGAATTTGTTAGGATGTCTAGATAACGTGGATGAAATGGACTGAGGAAAATTTCGTTCCTTAACTTCTTTGTATCAGTTGAAAGAAAGATGATAATTGGGCCAACAGCTTCCAGGACCTGAGGAACAGAACATTACAGTCAAAGCACCAAAAAACAATTTTGATAGAAAATCTAAGTCAGATGCTGTAAAGGTACTAATAAAATGCATGTGCTTTTCAAAAGTGTTTAACTGCTGATTTATATTGTATTTCAATTTATAAATTCATAGCACAAAGCATTGATCTTAATATCATACACCCTGTGAATAAAGATGTGTAGACAATCTCTGCTACAGAAGATGCTTGTAAGAATCACGTTAAAAAAAAGCTTGGCAATAAGAACGACAAGTAAAACAAATGGGAAAAAATCACAAAACTAGTCAACCAACAGATTGTAAGAAAAATAATTGGCCCTCCAAATATACTCAATGCTAATGCAAGTATGCAAAACTGACCCTAAGAAGCTTTTTCTGCAGCCTATTTCATGATCATAGTACTGAATGATGGGAGGAAGTAGCCTAGCATGTAACACATTTAGGAGTTGAACACTCAAATAGCATATGAAGCTTAATTCCTAGTTATTACTACTGCAATGGAGAATGACAAGAGTACCACCTCTCCAATTCTTGGGCTCACAAAATTAAGATCTTCATGCAACCCCTGGATAGGTGGATCATAAGAATCCACAAATTGAACCAATCTGTGTATAGATAAACAATAGTCAGTGAAGAAGAATCTATAGACTAGACTGGACATAACAAAAAAATGATAAGGTAACAATAAACCATTCATGACACAATGGGCGCATAAATTGGGCTGGAAATGCATCCTTTGCTCCATTGTGGAGAGGATCAAGTCATACATCTCCTTTTCTCTCCAAACTTCTAACTGGAGTTCTCTCTTCCTCTCAAATGTCACAATGATAACTAGGTCTCACCTCTACTTCTCTATTTTGCTTCCCAATTAATTTCCCGTAAGAAGAAAGGTAACCCTCAGTAAAATTTTACCAAATTCTCACAAGGACAATTCGAACTATTAACAAATATAAGGGGTGGATAGGTTTGGGTGTTAGTTTGACATACCTTTTTCTCTGTATAAGATCTTGTTTCCCCTAAGGAACAATAACTGCGGACATTCTCTTACTTGAAGTGCATATGCCAAATCTCTCTCAATATTTATATCAACTTTGACTGTCTGTTAAACAAATCAAAACTTAGGACCAGCACAAAGACCAGAGTAACCCGGCCAAATAATCAAAAGATGCTATTCAAACTTACCCGAGGAGGTAAGCGATAGCATTCCAGTATACCTTAGCAGCCTTTTCCAATTCTTGAAGAAACTTCCAATTGTCAGCAGCCCTGCAAACCACAACATCATGCAGGGTTCAATACTAAACAATCAAACCCTCCTGCAAATAAAATAAATAAATTTCACCCCAAGCATCGTAAGGAATTCCAGAAAGTGAAACCCGTTTTGCCGTTTATTTGTCAGTACCAGGACAGTTCTGAATTTTCTAGGCTCGTCTGATTCACACTTTACAGACATCCGCATTTACAAATGCAAAGCTTAAATGGTGATTGAATTACACACAGCCTGCTCCAAGCATAATGCCAACAGTTTACGAATCAAATTAGACAGGGATGGTTGATTTTTACCTGTTGTAGCGCTCGAAGACTAGGACGACTAAGGGGCTAGGGTGGAATGCGAAGCTCTCCCACTCCAATCAATTGATTTCCTTGACCCACCCCTCGTCGACCTCCCCCTTCCCAATCGATCTCCACCCCGTCCACCGTGACATTTCTGATCGAGTGTTTGTCGAAGTACTCTGACGCCCGGATCCCCCACCCGACATCGGCATCCAGCGGCCAGCTCGGGTCCTCCTCTTCCACCACAGGCTTCTGTTCTCCCTCTCCCTCCTCCTCCTCGTCTGGTACTTGCTCCTCCTCGGCTTTCGGCTTCAGGATGTCGCCTTTGCCCTCGAGGACGTCGGAGTTGCGCTCCCGGATGGAGGCGAAGACCTGCTCGAGGCGGCCATGGACGAAGTCCTCCACGGCTGCCGCCTCGCCACGGCGCCCACGGCGCGGCTTCCGGGGTTTGGTCGTGGGGAACCCCGCCTCGGTGGAGTCATCCGGGTTCTGGATGTGGGCCTCATGTGTGGGCTTCGGTGGTTCCGGGTTCGACGTTGGCTTCGGAGGCCGTGAAGCCGAAGAAGACGGCGGAGGAGCGGATGAGGCGAAGATGAGCTTGCCATCTCTAGATCCGATACGCAGCAGCTTTGTAGGAGGCGGCCTCGCCGGATCTGGGGGCGTGCCACCGAGGTCACCTAGCCTCCTTGGCGACGCCAGCGTAGGTGAGGCCATGGAGGGCCTCTCTGAATCAACCGAGCTTCGTGGGAGCCCCCTTACCGGATCTGGCGGCCGTTGGACTCATGAGCCACCGTGCCTAGATCTCGGCCTCCGTGGAGCCGTCGTGGTTAGGGGATGGGGAGGGATTGTGGCAGCGGAGGAGGAAGAGGGGAGGTGCGGCGGCGGCGTAGGTGTAGGGGAGGAAGAGACGGCGGAGGTGGCGACGGCGGGGATGAGACAGAGAGAGGGGAACGGATCAAAGGGGAACAGGACCGGGGGGACTGGGGACTGGGAGATATTTGTTCTACGAGTGATCTGTAGGGGCAGCCGGTGATTGAGCCGCTCTACAAATCGTAATACCGGGGGCGGCTGGTGAGTGAGTCGCCCCTACAAATCGACTCTATTTGTAGGGGCGGCTTCATCACCAGCCGCCCCTATAAAAAATTTATCCTGTTGCTACAAACCGTTTTTCACGTAGTGCCACCCTGTGGGTGAAGCTTATAAGTTGTACAATGTGGTCTTTTCATGAGCCTACTAGAGATCACTCAAGTCTCAATGATACAGAACTGGGTAGTGACATTGGCCGTGTTCGGCTGGCTGGCTGGCTGATTGCCGGCTGGCCAGCCACCTCACAAAATCACTGTTTACGTCCTACCAGAACAGTATTTTTCTCTCACAACAATCAACCGAAACAGTATTTTTTAGTCCTGCCGAACAGACGCATTGATCCAGAAGAAGCTCAACAGGCACTTGAAATAGCCGAAGCTAACTTGAGTAAAGCTGAGGGTGCGAAAGAATTGGAAGACAACGATGTTTTACAGTCAGCCTCATATAGAACAACATCCTCGCTTATTAGAGCCAATATAGAACACAAGGACTCAAGGAGGACATAGATATCGAGAGATCCAAATATTTTCCTTCCAGTTAACATGGAAGTTTATTCATACAAAGAGGGCATGAAAAGCATAATAACAAAACCCTTGGTCAGAAATATATAAATAATAAAGCACGGAAAATGGTGTATCCACAAAGAAAAAACATGATGCATTCCCAAATATTAACAAATGTTCATTACAGTCAGTTACACTGACGAAGAATGTATGCAAGCTTGTTAAATTGCAATTCAAGCAAATCCCTCAGATGTTAGCCTTTGAAGGTTAAATTGTCTCAGAGTAAATAGCTGGAACCTACACAGAAGAGAATTCACATGTCATACCAAACATAAAATTATCATGAAATTGTATGAATGTAGTAAATAAGTGTAGATCCAAAATTTGCTGGCCAATAATTTTGTATCTTTTTTGTTGTGAAGGAGTTACCTTGAAATTTAATTTAGTCATACTTGCCCGACACGTGGTATATGCACAACTTTCTCTTGGCACAATTGATCAAGATGTCTGCAGAGTCAATACCTGGAAAATAGTACCACAGTCAGAAGCTGAACTCCACATCGAGAAAATAAGCAAGTAAACCCTTCAAAAGCATGAAATTAGTTTCACCTGTTAGATATGCTCCATGGACATAGCCATAGTGCTCGCTTGTGTGCTCACCAGTGAAGTAAACCCTCCCCACAGGAGCCTTCAAACAAAGATTGAAATATGCAGGATTGTGTTTCAGTTTTTAGTCAATCTCTTAGAGCCTTGTAGAAAGTAATAACCTATAACTAAGCCCTTTTAATTTGAGTTAGAAACCCTACCCGGAGAAGATCATATTCGTAGCGATTGACGCCAATAGGCCAGTTGGAGAATGTGCCCTTGAAGAACCTGTTGGACCACCACCTTGGAACAAGAATATCGGTTGCATCAGGCACATCTTTGCCAGGGAACATCTTCCTCAATACCTCCACAGCTTCTGCCTTGGTTGCATTGTCAGACTCCTGCTAAATCCGCCTAGACTCGTCGTCAGTGACAGTTACGAGCAGTACATTTGATCCTGGGTATTCCTTTTCAAATTGCTGAAATTTTGCAGAGTGTTTTCCATCAGTTACTATTTATTACTATATAGTAAAAAAACTTAATACATGTGTTTGTGCCAACATTGTAGATTTACCTGCCAGACGGGGTAATACCCCCTCCTCCCACTAGCATAGAGGAAGAACTCCGTGTCAGGTCCTTCAGGCCAGAATTTTTTGGGGAACTTGAGGAAGATCTTGGTGTACAACGCCATGTCAAACTGGTACACCGAGACGATCTTCCAGGTCTGGTGACCATGAAGTAGACACATTATTTTATTTTTCAGCAATTAAACATTCAATTGTATATAAATCAAGGAACTGAAAGCTTTGAAACGATATATATATATATATATATATATATATATATCAAAGAATATATAACAGCAATTGAATAGAGGAACTGACAGAAAAACTAAATGAAGCTATTACATGCATGATGTGTGTCATCATGCAGATGACATATATATATCGTGTATTTTAGTGACAGGTTCTATAGGTGGAAACAATGTGCGCATTGATTTATATTTCAAATACAGGACTCATAATAAACCTCTGGTTTTAACTAAAACATATATCAAAAACTATTTGGGGTCTAAAACAAATAGAAAAAATGGAATGTGATGAAAAACATATAGAATAATTGGTATGAGTACTGTGTTGGAATATGAACCGATGAGAGAGAGAGAGAGAGCAGAGATAAGCTATTTTTACTAGGTATGGCCACACATTCATCCATAGATTTCTAACAGTTATATGTCTCTTAAATATACTACCGCGTAAGAACAATGGGTTCATGGACTAGTGTAGTATACAATTGTATTGTAGTTTAATATGTGCATGCATAAATTCCATTAAACTCAATAACTCATTTGATAGAAGGAGCAAGCACCTACTGATTGTGTATATTAAGACTAAAGGAGAAGTTAATATAGGAAATAATAGATTACAAAATGTGGAAAGTATTTCTTGTTTGCGCGATGGATAGTGCAAGCTCGTGAAAGAAGGTGCCGAGGCTTGAACCAAATAACTGTTCTAACTTGTTAAAGATGTAGCTATTTCAAACTGACCGTACATGGAACGCATAACAATATAGTGATAATCTCCACGATGAAAGGCGGTCATGCTAGTTGTAACCTGAAAGGGATGTAAATCATTATAAACTTCACATCAGAAGAATTCTAGTAGTAATTAATAAGCACTTAACTTTATTTTCCATCGACCTCTAGAGATCCCAATCTTGTTGGATCCAACGGGGCTCATGCCTAGTTGAAGAACTGGGTCTTTAAGGGTCCACTGGCACAGGTAAATCCTTAACAAAAGGGAATGCCTTATTAAAACTTTTTCATCCCATGTGAACCAATGCAAGCATCGAGAACAAAGCCATATGCTAACTTGGCAACTGCATATTTTAGTACTGTATCAGATTGCTCTGCTAGTAATGCTGTTCCAAATCCTCCCTTTCATTATGCCAACCCTTGGTTGTGAGCTTTTGTGCAGGTTCCGTAGAAAAGGTGTGGATGTAACTCAAAAGATTTTTATTCTCGGCCAAGTTTTGCAAAAATTCATCAAATTTTATTTGTTACACTGCCTCCCAAAATTGGATTTATGTTTTTTTTTACAAAGGATGGCAAAAGCTTTGCCGTAGATTTTATTAGACGATAAATAGCAAAAAAAAAAAAAACCTGGGAGGCAAAAGCTTTGCCGTAGGGCCCGTAGTGTAAAAATCTGGTCGCCACCGACGCCCTCCACCCAGTTGGCCCCCATCTCCACGTTCAACCCGGCGAACTTGGTCTTGTGAATGCGCCCGCCGATGCGGTCCGTCGCCTCCAGGATCACCAAATCCGTGATCCCAGCGTCCCACAGCCGCTTCCCCGCCGAGATCCCTGCAAAACATCAATATTATATATATAGTTCTATACATGCATGTATATGTGTATATGTGAGTCACCAGTCTTTTCTACAACAAGCACGTATGTGTATATTGATCCGTGCATGCATGTATCTGTACTGTGTATGTAAGGCCTTTATACATATATGCACCAGACATGCCGGCGCCGACGATGATAACCTTTGGTCCGGCGGCGGCGGTGAGGTGGGCAGTGCCAGCCCTAGGGCAGGGCATGAGGTGCGACTGTCGAGGGTCCAAGAGGAGGAGGGGGTTAAGGCTCAGGTTCTATAGTCTATTAGGTATTAGCAAACTAATAAAAAGAGAGACATAGAACTGGCCAGGCGGCTCAAAAAGACAACATCGACATTTCTTTCTTAGGTTTCTTTTCCCATGGCTCTCGGGTAGAGAGGAGGCGAGGAGTCACGCTGCACACAGTACACTTTGATCGTGAGTTCGCGACGTGCGCCTTACACACGCGGAGCTGGCGAGCCGCGTCGCCGCGAAGAACTAGACTAACAGAGACACGGACACGGCGCACGAGGACGACGACCAGGCAGAGCTCCACGACGACGAAATCTTGATTCTTGGCTTCTTACGAATTGCGATCACCGATCAGTCATTTGGGCCCAAGGTATTTTTTTTTCTTTTTATTTTTAATTCAAATTAATTATTTGTACAGTATTCCAGACTTCTAGTGTTTTGTACCCATATAGTTATATTTTTCTTCTAATTTAGGTGTTAGAATTTTAGAATGTTATCTAAGAAACATTTGTCATGGGTGAGAAAAGAAAACAAATATATTGCTTTTTTAATCTACATTGTTCCTCGATAATTATCATACATCTACAAATATATTGCTTAATCTATATTGTTCCTCGATAATTATCTTACATGTTAAATTAAAAATATATTATTGAATTTATTTTCATTTTACAAGTAAAATTAGTGCCTATATATTATAAGATTTTATACATGCTAAGAGATGCCGTTAGGACAAGATCACCAGAGGAGCCTTAAAATCCTAGGACCGACAATGGAGGTGGGCATACTGTACAGCAGCGAGAAGCACTAGAGCTATGGAAGGTCTCATCTCTCTCTCACGCTGAAATTCTAGCCTTGTTGTGTTGTTGAGCAGTTCGTTATTGCATTGGTCGCTCAATGCACGGGTCTATTTATCACGGACGCCCAGCTCGTACGTAGTAGGTGATATGCTGCCCAGCTCGTAGTAGGTGATATCATCAGTTGTTTATTAGCGAGTTTGTACGTACTGTAGGTATAATATCGCCACGTGCTGCGGGCGTTCTAGCTACTCCTGCTTTCGGAGCAATTCAAGGAGCAGTGCTCACATGCAACTCAATTTCATGGTCCGTGCTTATTAACCGAGGTGCTGTATGGGTATGCGTGGGATGGACTACATAAAAAAAACACATCACATACGTATGTTCAGGCACATCACAGATGTTATAACGCGTCTGTAATAAGGTTTATTACAAAAGCACGTTTGTAATAAGCATACACTACAGACGCATGTTACCAATACGCGGTGACAAAAATGAACACGCTTATGTGATAAGCCCTTAATAGAGACCGGTGAGTATCTATACGCGTCTACAGTAAACTCTTACTGGAGACGCGTGTTGCCAACATGTGTCCGCGATAAGATTAAGACACGTCTGTGTGAAGAACCATATCTCAGACACGTGCCTGTTATACGCGTCTGTAGTAAGAATCCTACGCGTCTGTAGTAAGAATCCTACTACAGACGATATTATAAATTCGTCTGTGTGAAGAAACATAGTGTCGACGCGTGTGCAGTACACGCGTCTGTAGTAAGAATCCTACTACAGACGATGTTTGTAAACGCGTCTGTATGAAGAAACATAGTGCCAACGCGTGTACAATACACACGTTTGTAGTAAGGATACTACTATAGACGATGTTTGTAAACGTGTTTGTAGTAAGTAGCATACTATAGACTCGTATTCTCTACACACGTTTGTAGTATTTTTCTTACCACAGACGGGTCTAGGCTACAAACGCGTCTATAGTAAGAAAAATGCTACAGACGCGTTTGTAGCCTAGACCCATCTGTAGCCCACAGCATAGCGTAAATAGCATAGATATACACAGATCATAGATATATATACACAGATCTCACATAAATGACATATATATACAAGATCACATCTGTTCATCTCAAAACTTAATTTGTTCACAGTACACACATATCACACACACAGTTCACAGATCGATTGTTTATCACTAGATTATTCTCACATGTATATATCTCACAGCTCTAATTGTATCTCAAAGGCTCCAAACACAGTTCACAAATCAAATGAATATATATATCAGGCACTTCATCATGGTTTTGTATGTGAACAATAAAACTCGCCTGTTTCATCGAGGATATGTAACACAATAAATGAGGCGAACTTCTCTCTAATGTCCGCAAAGTTGATTGGAGTGGACTACACTTCAAAATCCTAAGACAAAGAAAGGTAGTCATAAGATGAAGTTGTACATGTGTATAGCCATCATCCATAAAATGAAGCTGCACAACAAGAGATGACAATATATATATATATATATATGACAACAGCAGTACAAAAAATTATAAGTAAATATATATATGCCAGCCATAGTCTACAAAAGGGTCATATTAGCAGACCACAACAGCAGCTTCATCTTGTTCCAGATCACAACAACAGCTTTAAAAATTGACAACAACAGTATATATATGACAACAAGAGGGGATCAAGGCATTCCAAGTAGATCACAGTAGCTGAGCAGTAATAAATACATATATATTTGCACTTGTACCTGAGGATCAGTTAGATTGGCATGTGCCATCGCCAGCATCAAGTGGTGGCCCGCAAAGAACCCACATGTGTGGTCCAGACCTTGCTGCTGGCGCTGCGAACATAGAAAACACATGGTTAATAATTGAATTGACAAAACGACTTCACAACTAGAAGTGAAGCACTACTTACTGCAACTTTGAATGTATGGGTCAACTTCAATTTTCTCTACCCTTTCTTCGGCTTGGGTTAGCAATTGCCAAAAGCCCTACACATACATGAGTTGTTATCAAATTTTTTGACTTCCACTAACATAATTAAGAAAGAAATACATGGGTCAATAGTAGGTTAGACAATACTCACTCATCTATCACAGATTTGATTTTAGTCAAATCTGACTTCTTGCCTCTATTGGAGTCGAGGTATATCACCTTCTACCACATTCGAGCGATGATGACAGCAGTCCAGTGCTCACCATAGTTATGTGCAAACATCATAAACTTTTTCTTGGAATATTTTCTTAGGTAATATTCCAGATAATCCACGCTATAGCCTCTATCAGAGTTCATAGTCTTTATTGACACTGGATTTGGATCAATAATGCCAACAGGCACATCTTTGGCCCTAGCTTCTACAATCAGGCATCTAGGAATAAAGAAGCATACAAAAGCAATTTAGCAAGCAAATATATGAAGAGCATCCATAGCTAAAAATGAACAAGCCCAGAAAATAGATGAAATTATATTTATAGTGACAACATGCGAATAAGTCCTACATCCAATCCATCAAGTTTGAAGAGGTCAAACAAGTCTTCTAATCCCATAGCGAAAAATTCAGTGTATGCCTCACGCAAAAAATGTTGTTTCTTGAACACAGCAACCATCCTGGTTGTCCTCTTCTCTTCACATTCTTTCATGTACCACGCATGATGAGCAACACACCCAGGTCCTGCCTTCTCAAGCTCTATTTCTGATAGGAATCGCTCTCCAAATTTGAACTTGGCGTTGGCCTTGTTCCATACAGAACCCCCAGGGTCACTCTTAGATGATTTGGTGGGTTTCTCCACCTTCTGCTGCTGCTCCAGTTTGCTGTCACTCTTGACTGCTGCAGGCTATTTCGTTGGGTTAGCTGGAGCAGTTGTGGACTTAGCCTTCTTCGGCTTTGTCAGTGGGTCAGCTAGAGCAGTTGTGGACTTAGGCTGCTCCGGCACTGCATCAGTCTCCTTTGAAGCACTCTTTTCTACAGTAGTGCCACTGTTCGGCTTGTCAACAGTTGCAATCTTAGAGGCACTACTCTTCGCCTTCTCATCGCCTATCACAAAGTCCTTTAGATTGCTTTTGGAGCTCACAAGCAGTGGAGGTCTTGATAACTATGGAGAAGAGAGCACCTTTGGTGATACTAATACCACAATCTGGCCTGTCCTCCACTGGACCCTCTTGTATAGAGCATGTCCAAGAGTTCTTACCTTAGGACTTGGGGGCGGACTCAGCGGTCTATCCTCATGTTTCGGATGTACATAGTCAATATGTACAACGACATGATGTTACATTACTAGTTGTGAACATAGGTCAGTTTGCGCTAGGAAGACCCGACCCCTTGCTACCTCTAGGGTTGATTACTAGGCTACATGGTGTTGGCTCTGTCAGAAGGTCCACAGTATCTGGATCTGGAGTTGTCTCAAGTCCGTCGATGTAGTCTCTTTCGACTGCATCCGAGGTTGAGGCATAGCTGCTCTTCTGACCACCTACAGGGCTAGGGGTGTTGGAAGGTGACCTCAAATGCACTCCTTGGTCACGCAGCACGGCCATGATATCATTTGTGACCTTCTTGGTAATTTCTTTTGTCACTTGGCTTTTAACTTCTTCTTTGATGGCTTCCACATCCACATCACTTGTAGATTGCTTCCTCTTTCTGTACATGCCTGCGCAGTCCAGCCAATGCTTCCAACCACTGTAACTAGACACACCATGCACGTGGCCTGTTTGTTCGGGGCTGCCCAAGACCTCTGTGAGCACATCCTTTTCCCTAACCAAACAGAGCCTTGAAGACTCAAGGGCTCCTTGCTTCTCTAAAATTAGCTTAGATACACTTTCAGTAGAATCTTTCAACCAATGAATCTCAGCACTTCCTTCTGACCTAACTAAAGTACTCCGTGCACATAGAAAATTCCTTGGCCGGCCACCTAGAAACTAGTCCCAAGGATTACTGATGCCTTGGGCGGCTAACTCCCTGTCCTCCTGCTCCCACTTTGTGGCTTTCCCTTCATAGCCTCCTATCCCCAGGCAGTGGTCATGCTTGTTCCTCTCTCGAAGCTTCTTGTACTTCTCACTTGCTACCTTTGCTTCTTTGCTGTCCTTC